CAACCAATTTGTAACACACAAAGAAAAGCTTCTGTCCCTCGACCAAGGTGGCTCCAGCACGCCTATGACATAAAAAGCTATGAGTTAGATGAAACTAGATGAAAAATAATTTTTGTCTATGTTTTTATTAATTCATGTAGAACGAACAGAATAGCTTTACACTAAAATAGACAGTATAACGCACTCACCAATACAACAGAAAAGCATGGTTAAGGGCAACAGAAAAACACATTACCTTAATAACGGCAGAAGACAAGGTAAACCGCTTGAGGACGCGCGAACCGCTTGTCCAGATTATGCTATCATCAAATCAAAATTTCATCATCAGGAACAGAAACGATCATGAATTCAGCTAGATGCGGTATACCAATATCCAATGAAATTAGCTTCTACCTAAGCATAACCCTACGGACACTACTGGAAGAAAGAGTCAAACTTGAAGAAAAGAAAAACACATTCTAAATTGAAATGATGAATTATTTGCATTACCAATGATAAGGAATTCATAGTTATAGAGTAATCAGTAAATTGTATACACTTCTTACCAGTTGCCTCGGATGAAGAGCTCGTGCTCTCTCTGCCGCGAGAAGTTGGCTTCATTGCCATCAGCACCAGTGAGCTCAGGATCGAAGAGGAAATACTGATAGGAATCGTCCGGGGATTTACCATCAGTAGCTTCGGCGATTAGACCGAAAGGTTTGAACTTTCCGAGGACAGTAAGTTGGCGAACCCCTGGAGGCATTTTTTCTCCGAAGGCCAACAGGCAATGAAGATTGGTGAAGTTTAATTTACACTCTCCCGCTCTTTCCCAGTTGTATTGGCGCTTAACCCTAGTCTTTTCTATTTTCAAATTTTTTAATTGAGTTCTCTTTAGTCCTGCGGGCCGAAACCGTGTTAAGAAAAGTAAGCGAGACAGAGGAAGATAACATTGAAGAAGAAGAACTGAGTATGAAGAATTCTAACTTACATTAGAAACCAGAAAGTGAGGTTTCAGACGAGCTCCGAGAATTCTGGAGGCTCAAAACTGAACGGAAATAAAAAACAAAAGAGAAGTCCAAGCAGAGCCACTCCAGAAAAGTATCGAAAGTCGGAAGATTTCGCCCAGTGAAAGAGAGATGTTCTCAGAGGAATTTAATCAAACACCTTCTGTGCTAGAGGCAAGGAAATCTGGGACGGAGCTCAAAGTTTTAAAAAATTGGAAAGAAGTAAGGCTTACAATGAAATAAAATTAAAATATTTCCAACTATTTGCTTTTGACCCAATCGAGTACATTTAGCTCAACTAGGCCCACTAAAAGCCTGAAGATCTGTAACTTTCTGAGGTTTATTTATATAATCTTTTAGTTTGGGGTTTGTTTTGAGATAAATGAAAAATTATGAGGTTTTTTTTAACAGTTTAATGCTCATGTCATAAGTATCTACATATACATTTTTACAGGAGATTTTTGCAAAAAGTCTTTTGGATTCGGGTTTTATCCGGGATTAACTATATTCGGATCTAGGATAAGGATTTTTAGGAATGTTGTCTTAAAACCACATTAATTCTTAATTAACACCTAAATTGGAAATATATATAATATATCTAAACTAACCATATTTGTTAATTACCTTAACTACTTCTAACAATAATTATTTAACTATTTATTTCTATATAGAAAGAAAATGTGATTAAAATAAATATTTTGTAAAATATTGATTTGGGAAAAAATTGTTCTTACGAAAATAATTTGTTTTGTTATAAAAATTAATATTTGTTATTTGTAATTAAATTACATAAATAATAATAATAATTTGTCTACACCATCAAATGAAAATAGTTAGTTATTTAATTTTTTTATTTAATATTACGTAATTTTAAAAAAATAAATTCAACAATATAATGTCAATGGGTTTAATTCTTAAGATTTGAAAATATTAAAAAAGATACTAACCAAAAATTATCTATCCTAATTTGTTTCTAACAATTTGGACACAAATATTTCAAATCTTTCAAAAATTTAATGTGATCACATTTGTTACTAAAATCTCGATTATATTCCTAAAATCTCGAGAAGATCTTCCTTTAAATCCGCAAATTATAATTTTTGAATTAAATAAACTAACAATACGAATATTCCTAATATATGCGAGTACTAATAATCCTTATTATAGTATATTCCTTATCTAAATACTAAATCTTTTATTTTTAATTCTAATCAAAATTTATGAAATCGGAAATCAATCATGATTTCTTAAACATCCTTAAATTTCGAAATAATCAACAATTCGAATATGCTGAAAAATCATAACGAAATATCTTTATTTACTTAAATGTTTTAGTAATCGTTATAGCAAAAAAATCAATTCCAGCGCTATTGGTTCTTTAAACTTTTTGATTTACATAGATATTTTGTATTCCATAATTAACTCATTAAAATCTTTGATTTAAATAACTACAATGTGAAAATTAGTATATGTAATAAATATAACATATAATATTTACGAGATTTTCATATACTTGATCCCCAACCCAAATTGGCGAATATATTATTTCTCATAAAATATCTTTAAAAGATTTTTTTGTTTCGTTTAGATATTATTCAACAAACTTCCTAAAACAAATGGAAATATCTTTAATTAGCTTTCCTCATTCATAAATCCCACCATGCATATAGACGTTATTCAGTTGATAATACAAAATCGAATATATTAGGAATCAAATATATAATTTTCGAATATTTGCAAAATTGTTTTAATTTGTAGGTCAAACCTAAATTTCTCGAGTACTTTTCATTCATCTATATAAAGAAGATCTTTTCAACCATTGATCCACAATACTAAACGTTTTCGTAATAGAGATTTATATGGCTTCTTTTAAACAATGTTCTTAGTACATTTTATATTTCACGTTTGTTTTCTTTTAAAAAATTAATGGTCACCTACTTTTCTTATGTTGCAGCTTTCGATTTTAAGATCTTTGGAAACTATGTCTCCAAAGAAACTATCAAATAAGGTATGCATTAAAAGGTTAGTTAGTCCTTCTTCTTATCTTCAGATACAAATTTTTTAATGTCCAGTATTTTTTTACATTTTCAGAATTTCATGTTTCCTCATAATGATTGTAAATGATTTTCTTTTATAGGCTAACATAACAAGTCCATTCTATTAATTCATTTTCTTTAACGAAAAAAGGAAACGAATTTGTTAATAAAATAAAGTTCTTATTCTTAATTTTCATTATTCTAATGTTATGTATTTTAATTGTTTTTATGATATATACTTTTACAAAAACCTGTGGATCCGTGTTTTGGTTGGTAAGTGTAATTTTTCTAATCTTTTAAAACCTTTTATAACAATTACATGTTTTATATGGTTAAAAATCACATCATATATATTTTATTTTCTTATCCAATGTATTTCATGTTTAATGTTTTCTAATACTTTTTTTATGTATATTTTGGTTTTGACTAATTTTATATATAAGTTCTTAATTTAATCTATTAAAGTTTCCAAAGAAAACATTTTAAATATAAGTTCTTAATTTAATCTATTAAACTTTATTAAAAGTAAAATATTATATTTATTTAAACTTTTTAAAAAGTTTAATTTTATAAAACGTTGTAAATATTTATAATATTAGGAATTTTATAAAGTTTCAAATATTAAATAGTTGAATTTAATAATAATTTATAAGAAATTTAAACATTATAAATATTTACAAAAGATACGGGACGATATATTACGGGTGAAATCCTAGATATAACAATCAAAATACTATTATGAATTTTGGGTCGATATTAAATGAAGTTTCAAATATTAGAAATCTTTGAATTTTATTGGAAAATGACAAAATGATGTAGATTGGACGGGACAGAGTTATATGGTCGCGGACGAGTTTGTGGTCGATATTAATACAGTATGATATACTACGGGTAAAATCCTATAATTAACAATCAAAATATAACTATACAATCTTAAACACTAAACAAAACTAAACAAATAATATTAACAAAACAAATAAAACTTCAAATTTTAAATCTTTTGTTATAAATATCGTCATACAGTGTACCATATATTTAAATCAAATAAAACAATAACATATATCTATAGATCATCTTAAAAAAAAAAATTTATTATTATTTAATAAAATTATAGACCCGCGGTGTACCGCGGGTTAATATCTAGTTAAGTATTAGGGTAATATTAGGGAATAGCCAAATAAAACATTCAAATTAAGAAAATAGCAGAGAGAAAGTTTGTTGTTGCAAAATAGCCATGGACCCATGTTGTCAGATGATGTGAAATACCAAAACTATCATTTGTTTGTTGCGAGATCAACGATATGCGAGACAGTTTCGTGAAGTTTTTCAAAATACCATGTAACATTTAAATTTTGCATGTTATATTTAACTAAAAGACATGATATTTCAAAAAACATAGTGAATTTTTAAGAGAAAACATTGTTACGTAGTGTTTTTTTTAGAAAAAACATTGTTATAGAAAATTAAATCTGAATAGAATCTTTTTAAAAAGAAATCACATGTAATCTTAATAAAAATCGTGTATTACTAAAAAATAATCATCTTTAAAAAAAAAATCACATGTGATCTTAATAAAACACGTATATTATTACAAAATAACATGATAAAGAGAGATATTACACTGAATATAATATTTTTTCAGAGAAATACCATGTGTTCTTTATAAATAACGTGTCATACGAGAAAAATACAGAGATATTACACTGAATAGAATGTTTTTTCCAAGAAATACCATGTGTTCTTTATAAATAACGTGTAATACGAGAAAAATACATGATAAAAAGAGATATATTATGCTATCACATGTAATTCGAAAAAAAAAAGCATATTACAAAGGACATTAACGTAATTACATATGCATTCCGACATGTTACAGACAAGTTACTGTAGCTCATGGTTAGTTTGTATATTCTTTTTGAATCCATGGTTACTTTGTATATATTCCCTAAGTATTAAGTATTAACTAGTTAAGTCGAGACCAAAGAGATTGGTTCGGTTTTAACGGAGAAAAGAATAAAAGATAATCGCCGTTGGGACCAAAACTCTCCATTACGGTCAGTGACGTCACCGCCGGTCATCAATGTCAGGCCACACTTATCCTCTTCTCTCCCACAAAACAAAACTTCTCTTTTTTCGTTTTGTTTGTTTCTATTCCGATCTAATCCTACTCCGGGCCAATGGAGACGACGCCGCAGTCAAAACCGAGTGTGTCCCACCGTCCACCGGTGGGAAGAGAAGACTGGTGGAGTGAGGAAGCGACGGCGACGCTGGTAGAAGCCTGGGGGAATCGTTACGTCAAGCTCAACCACGGAAATCTCCGGCAGAATGACTTGAAAGATGTCGCCGACGCCGTTAACTCTAGGCACGGTGATAACGGCCGTAAGAAGACCGATATACAGTGTAAGAACCGGATCGATACTTTGAAGAAGAAGTACAAAACAGAGAAAGCCAAACTCTCGCCGTCGACTTGGCGTTTCTATAACCGCCTCGATGTTCTAATCGGTCCGGTTGTGAAGAAATCTGCTGGTGGAGTTGTCAAATCAGCGCCTTTTATAAACCCTAGTCATCTGAATCCGACTGGATCGAAGTCTAATGGAAGCTCACTTGACGATGATGATGACGATGATGATGAGGTTGGTGATTGGGAATTCGTTGCGAGGAAGCATCCTCGTGTGGAAGAGGTAGATCTGAGTGAAGGATCTACGTGTAGGGAACTAGCTACGGCGATTCTGAAGTTTGGAGAAGTTTACGAGAGAATTGAGGGGAAGAAGCAACAGATGATGCTTGAATTAGAGAAGCAGAGAATGGAAGTGACAAAGGAGGTGGAGTTACAACGAATCAACATGTTGATGGAGATGCAATTAGAGATTGAAAAATCAAAGCACCGGAAACGTGGAGGTGGTTCAGGTGAGAAGAACTTACATTAGGTTTTGCCTTGTGTGATCGACCTCTTGTAGAGTCTTGCACATTTAAGTTACTAGTTGTGGCTTAGATTAGATAAAGCTTCAAACTTTACATGGTTATTGACTAATTGTGGGTATGTAAAAGTTGAGTGCTGCCTCTCTGCTTTTGAAGAATACCAATTGTGTCAATATACAATTCAATTCAATTCAATGGTCTGGCAAGAAAAAGTCTAGCTAGCATTATCTTGCTTCTTGGAATGTTGAACTGGATTAGGAGTGGACTTCCGGGTTTGAAAATTGAGAAAATGAATGAATCAATGTTCCTAATATTAGAACATTCTTCATGTAGTGATGCGTTCACTAGAGTTTGATCTGCCATTATTGTACAGGTAAGCAATTGTAGAGTTAGATTGGTGGAGGAACTACCATGGTGAGGCAAAGAGGAATTACTTGAATCTGAAGCTCATTAACATTGGAGGGTCCTGTTCTAATCTGTAGGATAAAAGTTAGACAACTCTTTAGGATGCCTTTGTTTGTTTTCTTCTACTTTCTAGCGTTTTAGGGTGTACATTGTTGTTGTAATGGAGCAAATCTTCCTTAACTCTTAGTAGCTGACAAGTATGATGTACTTTTGTCAAGTGTCCATGTATAATGATGGCTTGTGAATCAAAACCAACAGCTGCTATGAGGGATTCTCTTTAGCAGAAATCAGGACCTGTTTCTGGATGAACGGTGCTTCTGATGCGTAACAATTCTATGTTGATGCTTCTTCTTGGGCTTTTTCATGTCTTAATCTTTGTCATAACCACTTATTATATACTAATAATAATTGAGAGCATTATCTGATCCAATGATCAAAATAAATATACATACACCCACAAGCATACACTTGCATCTGAGTATCTTTAATCTATAGTCATCAGCATTTAAACACAAAACTTGCAAGATTCTATAGTCACTGGTTTCTGTAACCTTTAAATTGGTAAAAAAAAATCTTATCATTTGCTTTGAGTTTGTGCTTTCAGTTCTTGATTTTCCTTTGTATCATCTTCGGTTCACATAGCTTCTCTGTTTCTTTCTACGCAATGGTTTACATCTGCGTCTCTCTCTGGTCTCTTTAGAATCTTTTTCTCTCTTCCGTTTCTTAGAACTCGCATTCTTCTCCTCTGCAGAGACTTCCCCAACCAAATCATCTTCGACCATTTTACGAATGAGAACGTATCTAGGCCCTGATGAACTCAGCTCTAGAAAGACCTGTTTTTGTGACAAACCCGTCGAATCCTGCAAGAGAAATACATGGAAAACTTATTATATATCACTCATCTGTGAAATAACCAAAGCTATGATGCTAAATTACCTTTCCCAAGTCTCCAGCAATGTTTTCAAATGCTTGATTTGCTTCTTCTGGACTTCTAAAAACAACAATCGCGCTATAGTAGTGACGATCTTGTTTTTTCGACGGCTGCCAAAAGAAAGTCAAGAAACAACGAGAGCCTCGTGAATAAAAAATATACGAGAATAAAGAATTTGGATTAGAATATGTTGGATGGATTCATACCTTAACTTCATGTGGGATATCCCTGGAAACAACTCCATTTAACTCTTCATATGGGACATTGCAAGGGATTTTATGGAGGTAGAGCTTTGACTTCTCAGCTTCCAACATCTATATGGATTTTTGCAGACAAAACGTTACGCTTTTACAGGTGTAGATTGAACTAATGAAGTTTGTGACAATCCAACTTACCTCTTTAGATAGTGGAACGGAGGTCTCTACTCCATTCTCTAGTATAGCAAGTACAAGTTTCATTGCAGCTTCTGCATCATGAACACAATTGTGGGGAACACCTTCTTTCTGCACTTCATATCCCAATATACACTGGAAATCAAATAAAACAAACAACGGGATATTCAGGCCAGAAACCATGTACGGAATTCAATATCTCATGAGCAGAGGATTGAGCTTTCACAGGCTTTACCTTGCAGAGATGATTCAAAGAAGGTCTTTTAAGTCTTAAAGGCCTTCTTGTACCGTCATAGTTATACTTAAACACAAGTGAAGTATCTATTACTCTGGCATGATCCATCTTCAATACTAAGATCAATCATCAGTAAGTATGGTTCTGAAACATATTTAAAAAAAACTAGGAGCAACTGAACCATTTTTACTAACCTTTAAGATCATGGTTCAAACTTTGACCTACCAAAATTGTATCCTCTGAGAGAAACATCAGCAATTTTTCCTGCAAAAATGATTCACCAAATGTCATCATCAGAACAATGATTTGAAACAGCAAAAAAAAAAAAAAGAAGAAAGAAGTCTATATACACACAATGTACCTGTATATCTACCACAGATAGAGTAGCCTTTTCAAGATCTTGAGCAGTAAGTCCAGTAATAAAAGTCCTATAGTCAACAACTGGTTGATTCGGTTTCACGAATTCGTCAAGAATCACCTGATTTCATGAATAATCAGCACGGTTATGTTAAAAAAAAAAAAAAGGTACACACTGAAAATAAATATGTAAAGAGACCTTTAAATCACGGTCAACTGCAGCAACTCTAACGAGAGCTTCACTCCCATCTTCACAAAGAACCATCTCACAATCAATGGCAATCATTTCGATCTTGGTCGGTTCCATCTTTTTCTTCCCAAGCCCTGTTATGACCCAATCCTGTTTTTGCAACTCAAAGAGTTCAGCTTTTTTTCAATCAGTTACTCCATTCCACATGAAAAGAATAAGCTTATAAACACAAACCTCGGCGTTAGATGGGAACAAATAGTCTAATGGGTACTCATCATGAGTAAGAGTCATTCGAACTAGCCTCTGCACTGCCAATAACATTAATTAGTTGTGAAACACTGTTTACCAAACTAACTGCATTACACAACCAAAATAATTATGTTTGATTCCACACCTGCTCAGTGGTTTCATCCGGAGATTTCTTTCTGCATTTCTCAAAAACATCATTGTCGAGTTTCAGAACCCTAGCCAACAGCTGAGAAATAGCATATTAAAATATCAAACAAGTTTGTAACTTGAGATCAAACAATTGTGTTGTGTGTTTTGTTTTTTGAAACCTGCAAATCTTCTTTCTTCTTGAGTGTAGTAAGAAAAGCGACCAAATCATCTTTGCGCCGCTTTGAAGGATCACTCAAGCTCGAAGATCCTAACTGTTTGTCGTAAAAATCTAGAAATTCCTTCCATGATCCGTGTTTGCCTTTTAAACCTAGCTTTTGCGCTAACTTCACCAGCTTTACTAAAACCTTAAACCCCACAAAATTAACCAAAATAGATTAGAACGAAAAGCGACCTTCGAATCCATGAAATTCTAGTTAACGTCGTATTAGATAAAGAGACCTACCTCTCCCTCTGCCGTGGCTAGCACGTCCTCCATAACCGATTCAGACAGCGGAAAGGAAAGCTTCTGACGGCGGCGACTCGCTAGCCCTCGTAAGAGACAGATTGACAACACGTGGTATAATCTATAATAGTCACGTGACTTCACCCAAATCAACAGTTATGGGCCTTAGGCCCTGTCTTTTTTATAAAACTAGGCCTCGTTGATTTTATTTATTTAATAAATTAATTATCCCATATTTTACATAAGAGATATTTTCTTGGTAGGATTTTCCCAAGTAGAATCCTCTGCTAATTAATCAGAACATTTACACAAAAAAAGCTGTAAAATCCTAAAATTTGGGTCTTGAATATATAGGATGACGACAAAGAGGACAAGAGCTCTTGGTCCGAATCCAGCGCCAAAGACAGACTTTATGGAAGACATGACAACAATCATGTGTCTCTATAGATTCTTCGTCGTCGCATAATTCCTCAAGGCATATAGTACATTCGTTGACCGGAGTAATCGATTTGGCCGGGATACAAGTAGTCCAGCCTTTAATTTCTTCCATCAAGTGATATTCAACATCTTCCGCATCGGCTTTGAGCTCGAAAGCTCTTCCTCTACTTTCTCCGATCAGTTGAATGCCATACAAAACCAGGATCTCCCGAATCCTTGGCTCAACATCCGCCAAAACAAAAGACACGTGTCGACGGCATGTTTCTACGTCGGAGGTGGCTAGAAACTCTGAAGGGATCTCGAATTTGAGTTGAAGTGGCCGACCTAGTGATGTCTGTCCGAATAGTCGTTCTTTCCCGGCGATTGGACGGTAGATATCTCGTCGGAAAGTCTCTAGTGTTATGGAAAAATGGCTTGCGGAATTTGAATGGAAGCGCGGTGAGAAACTGATCGGGTAGAAAAAGACTCGCCGGTTGTTTTGCTTTTGCATGACTTTGTCCACCCAACAATCTTACTTGTGTTGGGCTTATATTTATAGGGATTATTTGATCCAGATCATATTCATGGAAAAGGAAACAATCTTTTTTATTCTACCGAGTCATCTTTATCTTCATAAAAAAAAAGGAAATAATCTCAGCAGATTAGTTTAAAACAAATCAACTTTAGTTAATTTTTATTTTTAATCTATCTTCTTCCCAAGAACAATCCGCACATCACGTAAGAAATCTCTCTCTAAAATTTTCACAGTTTCAATTCCAAACAACAAACTAAACAATGAAAGCTGATGGAAAACAAAAGCAAAGGATTCCGCCATGACCCTGCGAGTGCAAGCCAAAATTAAGATATCATCAAAGGTAGCATTAAGATGGTGTTGAGAATGTCATGAAAAATCCAGATTTTGCTCGATCGTGTTCTTGTTTCTTCAGTATGTGGCAGTAGTTAAGCTGGTATAAGAGATCACATTACAAAAGGCAAAAGCAGAACAATCAATATCTGTTAAAAGGATTGCAAAAATTTTATGATTCTTGACGAGAAAAGAGAAGGAAGATAACTAACTAACCTCCATGCGAAATAGACTAGTTGGTACCACGATTCCTGCACCAACTGAGCTTCTGAATGTCTCCAAGAACTTTGTAGCAGTGAAGTTCCTATACTTGTTCTCTGATAATTCCGCCATATTCCCGGCACATGCAAACACATGACCATGAATTCCTCTGTCTCTGAACCATTTCACTGGGAAATCAAAAGAGAGGTCTGCAAATGCAGTGACCGCAACATCCCCTCCCACAAAATCCCGTTCATATGTGTCACCACTCTCATTGTCTTGTACTTCCCTCCTTGACTCGTTAGGACCCAATCCCCTAGTCTTGAATCCCCATAACGCAGATGGTCCTCCCAAAGAACACACAGGTGATATGTTACCACCTAAGAAGAACCTCTCAGGTATACAAGAAGCTTTGCTCTTGTATTCGCTTCCCCATGGAAATGTGATTCCCCCAGCTACACCAAAGTTCAGAGCAGCACGATAAAACCCGAGTGGAACAGCATATCGGAGGTCGATTTCCTGAAAAAGGACAAGAAACGCTCAACATGATGTATGGCAAACATAAAAGAACCACATATGTTATCAAAGGGATAACCAATCTTTTCATTTACTGTCACAATAAGTAAAGAGTACCAGAGGTACTTGGGAAGTTATAGTAAATGGTGCAAAAGCCTAAACGAGGAACTAGGTGCTATGGAAATTTTCTGAGTAAAATATCTGAACAGCTTTCCACACTGTAATATAGGTTCATGCAAATGTTAACAATAAGAGTGAAGAATCCCAAACCTGGCGCAAGAAGCGGAGTGTTCGACTATCAGGCGCAAGACCACCTATTTGAGAAGTAGAGATGAAAGAGTACCCTCGTGTTGGCCTCAAGGATGAGTTTCTCTGGTCAAATTTGAAAGTGTACTTCAGAGCAGAAACCAAATTATGACCCAGCTGTCTCCTTATTGATCTTGATGCCATTTGCGATGGGTCTATCACGTTACGCCATGCAATATTGTAGGCCAGCTCATGATACTTGCTAGCGATAAGCCCGAGGGAAAGACCAAGAGCTCGTTCTTTATAAGACGAGAACTTAAGCCAATCTTGGGTAGAAAGGTATACCCGCGACGTAAATGGAGTAGGACGCCCTCTGAACCTTGGCAAACACATCCCCAAGCCGACCTCAGTAGAGTGATCACAGCCATAGGCAAGAGACCCGTCCCAGATATCTCCATAGCCAAAAATGTTCTTGTACTTCAAAGAGCCTTCAAGGCTTGATGATCTAGCCTACAAAAGCCACAAGAAAATTAATATGGAATCCCTTAAACAAGAGTCATACACAAATATATATGTCTAATCCAGATGATCAGTTCCAGAATCAGATACATCCACATGAAGCAACAAATCCAACTCTATGCATCAATCAATGGCTAATAATCCACTGAAAGTGATACCTCTGCTTTAGTGAAAGTTCCGACTTGGCCGGTGAAAGGGCTTTTGCTCTCAACAACATCGATGACCACATTGGTGGTACCAGGAAGCTCAGGAGGACCAGAATCAAGCGTAATTTTGACAGCATCGAAGATATCAAGCGCTTGAAGATTGAAATTGGCAACCTTAGAGGCTTTGAGAAGCTCCTGCAACGTAGTCGCTTGCCTCAAAACATCAACCTCAGCCTCGATGACATGATCCTTAGTCTTCTCGTTACCCTTGACGATCACGTCGTGAACACGCACAGCGACCGGAGTTTCTCGCATACGACGGAACAGAGACTCAGCTTTGATCCTATCAGCGATTGCATCCTCTCGCGTTCGAGGTTTCCCATCGTCTTCGTCCTCATACTCTTCCTCTTCTTCTTCTCCGCCGTTAATGTCTTCTAGCTCTTCTCTTTCATCTTTAGGCTCGAGTTTAGGTGTTGAAGGAATCGGTTCGGGTTTCTCCGTCGGATTCGCCATGAGAAGGAGGGAAAGCAACTGAGAGATGAGCAAATCGGCGAAATCAATTTGACGGCTCCTCCAAAAGCGTTTACATTATTCCTGTGAATACCCTGCAGAACCGGTTATCTGATTATCTGGTTAACCGGTTGACCAATTAGCCGGTTAGCTGGTTATCAGTGGAGCCTCTTTCTGTATCAGAAGATTTAAAAATAAAAAAGGTGGAATCTTTTTCAAATTCATATTATCCCCTCTCTCTCTCTCTTTCGCCTTGTCTTTTTTGCTTTCTTCAATTCGGAGAAGAGAAGTAAAAATGGCGAAGATCGAGAACGGCTACGAGAATTTTTTGGCTTCAGTGATCGTCGACATCAAATCATACTCTGGAAAAGACCATCTTCTTCCCTGGATCCGGTAATTTTGTCTCTCTGTGTCACCATTTTTGTCGACGAGTCTGAAGCACTACTAAGTTCACAGAAACCTAATTAAATTGACGTTTCTGTTGATTCATGGGTCAATCTGAAACAGAGGTGTTAAGAAGATGAAAGAGAGCTTGCCCACTGAGATATTGAACGAGAAGCTGCCGCGGTTTTTGCAGAAATGTGCACAGTCATTTGAATCTGATAAGAGATATAAGAACGATTCGCGGTATATTCGTGTTTGGTTGCAGCTGGTAATGTAAATTTACCCCTTGATTTGGCACTTAATTTGGTTACAAATGATTTTGTTTTGTGCTTTAATGTGTTAGAGCTTTGAATTGCTTACACTTTGAGAACCGTAGATATCATTCCTTTTGATATGCATTTACTTATTGGAATGGTTGGATTAGAACTGAGCTATGCCCAGTTTTGTATTAATGAAGTCAGTGAGAGAGGAGTATTTTGGATTTGAATGGTTTGGGGTTTGTATTCCTGATGGTTTGTTTCAATTTTTGTGCATGAATAATTTGTTGATAGCAGATGTTGATTAGTTAACATGCGGGTCTTAATGGGTGATGATGAATTGTTTGGCTAGATGGACTTTGTAGACGATCCAAGAGCCCTTTTAAGAACCATGGAAGCAAAAAGTATAGGGACCAAGAGGTCACTGTTCTACCAGGCATATGCTCTTCATTATGAGAAGATGAAGAGATTTGAGGAGGCTGAGAAAATGTACCGTCTTGGGGTGCAAAAGTAAGTATTCTTGGAAACTCTAGAAAATTGTATTTGATAGATGCTTAAGAGTAAACCTTATTAAGTGATTATGCATATGCAACATATAGCAATCAAATCTATACTTGTATTCAGCTTATATATTCTCCAAGTGAGTTCTTGTCATGATATGCTACAAAATCTACTACACTCAATTCATTATGTGGAAATGAGGAATGTAATAATGACAGTTTGAGCTAGCATATGTGGTATGTTGAAGACATGATTTAAATTAAGTGACTATTTCCTCTTGTCCCCAGCCTTGCAGAACCCATGGATGAGTTACAGAAATCATACTTGCAGTTCGTTAGTCGCATGGAGAGGCACAAAAAGAAAAAGACACAGGTACTGTTTCCATAATTTAATTTTTCCGCTTGTATAATCTTTATTCTGCAGATGTCTGAATTGTATTTCCTCTTGCAGCGTCAGGAACAAAAACTGTCTGGAAAGCACCACAAGGTTGAGAGCCAACAACATGAGCCAGTGTTGAGTTTTGTTGATAAAGCCATTGTAGGAAAGCCTGAAGCAGAAAATGCTTGCCATCACGGTTTGGTGGATCCCACAATAAACATGAAGGAAGCCATGAATTCAATCAACAACATGTTCAAAGAGCCTATAGAAATTGCTCCACTTCAGAGAAGATCACGACAGAGAAGTCAGAACAAAGAAAACCAAGGATGCAACAATAGTTTTGAAGTTTTTGTGGACGAGAATCTCGAAAGTGAAACAGGGACAAGTAGAAAAGCAAAGACTGGTACTACTCAGGGATCCCAGCCTAATCAAGAGTCCTTTGAGATTTTCATTGATGATGAAAACGCTGATGAAACTGCCGATGAAAATGACGAGGCTGGAAAAGCTTTTGTCTTTCTCCTGCCAAGAGACCATTCACCTGAAAGCTCTGAAGAAGCAGACAGAAACAGTCCTCCTCGAGCTAGATTTAGAGAAGATACAGTTGTTCATAGATTTGTTGGTTCAACAATCTCCGATGAGCCAGAAGCAGTTGAAAACGCCTGCCACCATGGCCTTGTTGACCCTACAGTCAACCTAAAGGAAGCTATGAAGGACATAAACAACATGTTTGGCGAACCAATAGATTTTGTTAGACCCAACCGCTCTAAAAACAGAGGAAAAGCAGTAGTAGAGACAAAACCATATCCTGCTGCAGGTTTCTCAATACTTGAAGATGATGACGATGAAGAAGCTGAGCAAGAACACCAAGGGACGAACCGGCCGACTCAGATATCGCCTTCAAAATCAGATGAGCGCGAACTATTTGAGCCAACGGTGTGCACAAAAGTAGCCTTGGATGAGATTAACAAATTGTTCGCAATGCCAATGGACTTCTAAGGAACATGGTATTTGGTTCCACTTTGTTTTATTCTCATAACGTATGCCTAGAAGCAGACAATGTTTGTGGTCGATGTTCCTGATTTGTACCTCTCTGTTGTGTTGAATTATGAGAAATCTATGTTCTTGTTGTAACTTGCAGACATATCTGTGTCATAAGGTTTGAGATTTAGAAATGTTCAGGTTATAATGTTGCTATGACCTCGTGATTATAATTTTACCGATTTAAACTGAGCAAAATTGAATCACAAGAGTCCCATTACAATATTACTCAGCCTCTTACAAACAATTGACCAACCATAAAACCAAAAGATACAAAATAGAAACAAATCAATAACATTGTCTTATACAATTAGTATATGATGATCTTCACAACCCAAATCAGTAAGTGGGTGGTGCAGTCGCGGGGCAGTGGTCAGGACGGAAAGCCAATGGACCAGCGGCGTAAATTACGGCCTCATAGTTTGTCCACTTGAGCCTCTTCTCTTCATACCGGAGAGAAGCTCCGTCTAGAGCATTGTTAATGTTGGAGAAGAGATTGCAGTCTTCACGAGGAGAAGAGACGAGCTTGGCCCGGCAAGAATGAAGAGGATGGTCCAAGTAATGTGGAGTCATCTTGAAACCTTTGAGCTCACCATAGAAATGGCCGTAGGAATCAGTTTTAAAGACTTTGTAGAAACTCACTTGTTGCCTATGGTTCTTGCAGATAATGCTGATTTTAGCTCCGGCTAAGGCTTCTGCTCCGGCCAACGACCATGATCCGAATTTGTCGCAGGATTGACAGTACACCATTCCTTCCACTGCCGCTTCCACGGTTTTCACGGCAGGGTATGCTGTGGTTGGAGGAGGAGGAGGAGGAGTACTGTAACCGTTAGCAAACACCGCCATGGCGATGAGGGTGACGAGAACGGAGAAGGGTAAGGCTCTTGAGTCCATGTTACTTGTTATGCCCTCTGTTTCTTAAGCTTCTTCTTCTTGATGTTTGATTCAAGGGAGAGAAATATGCGTATATATAGAAACATATAGAGGTTGGTATTTTATTGTGTAAGTAGTTTAGTTTTTTGAGAAATTTGACAAATTGCATGAGACGTGTGTGCGACTAGTACATGTATTGTATGAAATGGGGGCAGTTGCGGCTTATTACGTGACTGCCATTTTCTTTGTCAACGGATTATATATTAAACTATTGTTTTGCTTATTCTCTATCTTCTCTAAGAAGACAATGAATATATGCGAGTAAAATACTAAATGCTAGAATATGTCATAAATCTTATAAAAATTAGTTTCAGATGTTTCGGACAAAGCTAGGATGATAATGTATGAAAATAGCCAATAACAAAAGGACCAAACAGAGGAATTTAGGTAAAGAACGGTTGTTCTTTATAATTTAAAAAGCCTAGGAACTCTCTCTGCTAGAATACTAAATAGCAAAAGGGAATACTGGTCCACAAGAACCTTTTATAATTTAGAAATCAAACCTTACATGTTGGGTCCTCTTGCAATGAGAATGTCCCCATAAGGCTGTGTTTGGTTTACCTTAATGACTCCGCGAGTCGCTAACACTGGAAATGTAAACCATATTCATAGTCAGGTTTTTTTTTGAATAGTTGTATTGCTCACATAAAGTGAAATTAATTTAAAGTGAAGAAGTTAGTACCACAGGATTGGAAGAAGAGTTTAGCTGCAGCGTTTCTGTCCATTCCAACAGCGAGCTTGTTAAGAGATTCCACTTGAGGAGCTCCAGGTGTTTCAAAGTGTGTCTTCAGATGACTGTGTTTCGTTTTATAAATCTCATCATTGTCACTCAGTATATAGAGTTGGCAAATGATGTTGAATCTCTTACCTTTTGATGCTATCTGTTATCTTCTCGTCTGATTGATTGCACACTGGCTTTTGAGTCTGTGTAGATGCAGTTTCAAATAGTATTTCTGTGAAAAAAAAGAAGCCAAGTTAAGGTTCGTAAGATGGTGTTTTAGAAGGTTTTAGGATCAAAACACAATTAAAAGTTATACCTTTATCGGCTGTGAAACGTTTTTCAGGTAATATTGAAAACTCAAAGTCATATTCACGGTGCTCCCATGGTCTCTCTTCCGCTACTGGTTCGAGTCCTCTTCTTGGTGAGGAAGTTGGCCTTTTTCTATCAAACATGCGACTGATTTGGTAAGCGGAAGAAGAATTAATGATCCTCTTCCAATGCAAAACTTGTTTGTAATTTACTATTGGATTTAGTATCAGAGAAACTTAGACACCTTTTAGAGCTGATCTCTATGTTGTTTACTGAAGCTGCTCCACGTGCGGATGGTGTGCTAGGCATGGATCTCACGTCGTCTCCTGTAGTTCCCATGAAAATCAAATTACTAACCATAATACCAATCTATGATCTGATGACTGAATAAAATAGAGAAGCTTTTTAACCAGAATAGAAAGGCGTGACATTAATATCAGCAGCCTGGCGGTTAATAGTTTCAGGACTTGCTCGAGATCCAGCCATCATGCTTTCTACTGAAGCACCTTTCCCAGTACGAACTGTCCGGAGTATTTCTGCGGGACTACCAAGATTTTGGGAGCTTGTGTCACTGCGCTCATGCTGCATACATCCACATTCAGTTACAAAGAATATGGAAATGTGCCTTTCTCTTATTGATACCAAACTTTCAGAAAAGAATATGCTTCCGCGACTTACATGGTCTGTTTGATGGTGGTTCTGCATTCTCTCCTGAACAAACCCTGGAGATTGTTCTGCACAGAGATCAGGACGTCGAGTTTCTGCATCGGCATTTCCAAATGTTAGATTCGTTTCAACAAGGAGAAAACAAAAAAGCAACACTGATGGATAGAGAGAAACCAGATGATGAGGTTTGAAGAACTTGAGTATTCTTTGACCAAAGCTCGTAAAGCTGAGGCGGGTAAGAACTTTCCACATGCTTTTCAAAGAGTTGTGTAGGTGGCATATTCGCACGTTTGAAAATTTTCATTTCCGGCCGGATAGTTCCTCGAACCTACAAAAGATGCCAGATGTAACGCCAACATGAGCACCAATTAGTACATTAAAGGCCAAGGCGTTCACAAATTTGAACCTTTCTCTTTTCCCCCCTACAGAGAATGTCAGAAGTATCCTGGAGCCATGACTGGTAAACGTGACCAGCGATAATAGTCTGCTCATAATCCATCGCTGAAGTAGCTGTCTTTCTTGCTCTTTTTTTTGCTGGTTGTGGTCTATCATGTTCCTGCATGCAGAACAAAACCAATTCAATGTATTTTCTCACTAGATGAGAGTATTCCTAGTAAGAGCAAATACCTCTTTGTCCGGTATGTTTTGTTCCTCCATCTGCTCAGCAAATCCGTCCCTACGACGCTCCTGTTGCTCGTGGAGCTGAGGGCTTGTGGGGTTGACTCCTGCAGATGGATACAGGTTAGTAAATTTGTTCTGCTCTGTTCATGAAGCTCAGTGTTAATATCATTCAGAGGCTTCAACAAAAGTACATTCCCTGGTCAGATACATGATTATTATACTAGAGACTCGCCCAAGCCATTGTTATTGGGTTCATAAACTTAGCACAATATAAAAATAGAAAACAATCTCATCTTTGACTCAAAACTTCATATCCCCATACAATAACCAGAGGTCACGATTTTAGAATAAAAGAGTGACATAACTATCTACCTTCGGGAATGTCATGATGACGAGGTGGTGATGGGATGAGAGTTGTAGGTATTTCAGCGCCTTCTCTTGGATTGAAGTTCATCTGAGTTTCATCATCTCCTTCGATGTCAAATCTGAGATGCCATTAAAACGCAGAAGAGAAAACAACAAATCATCACCAGCTTTTTGCTGAAAGGTTGATGAAAGAACAGAAATAGTGAAACGCTACAAACTTCTTCTACCTTCAACAGTTATTGGAAAGGTTTAAGATCTGGGAATTAAAGACCGAAGATAGATAGTGGGAGTGAAAGCTCACCTTTCAAAACGATCATATGTTTCATTGTTGGTCTGGAATGAACCATGATACTCAAAGAGTGTGATATTCTCGGCATCAGCTGAGAATGTTACAGAAATTGACAAGCGGATTAACGTAAGTTATTAACATGTCGTGTCGTATATTCACAAAGATAATGTCTCACGATACACACCTTGATGGAACTGCTGTCCAAGATCTTCTGGCTCGGGGTTATTGTTAACATGGGATTCATCTAACCTCTGCAAAGAGAAAACCATGCAATGAATTAGTTCAACTAAAGATGCACGCAAGTATTCATTGGTATACAAGGAGATGAACACTACTATGATCAATTCACATTAACAGTTGCATCTTTTGTGCATTGTCCATTTACACAACCCATAGGTTACATGTCAAATCTTAAGCGATGTTCAAATGATTTTGGTTTGAATTCATATGCTTCAAGATCCAAAAAGATTTTCCTTTGAAATATTCACCTGTAGACTAAAAAGAGGCTACTTATAAACCACATGCTTGAGTTAGACCAAGTCTTAGATGCCCTTTATGCGCGCCAACTTATTTACTCCACTTCTATGGACAATGAAGAATGATGGCTACTAATATTTCTATATCTTATACTGTTTTAGGTTGGAAATTTTAAGCCATCTAATCCACATTTCTACTAATTGATGAATATTGAGTTGAGATGTAAAAGGAAAATAAATACCCAATTCAATCTGGGAAACACAGGAAATTGAGTTGATTACCATGGAAATAAAAGTCTGCTGAAAATCCATGTAATTGCCATATTTAGGAATATTACGAGTCTGTTCAAAATCTCCAAAATCAGCTTCTTCGTTCTCAGGCAATGTAACAGCCTCTTTCCTGCAAACAAAAAATCCAACACGCCAATCATTTCTATTGTTCTTCACGACAATGTTCTATCGTTTTGGAGTTTCCATCATAATCCTTCCATGGCTATCAAAAAGCCCAACACGCCAGAAATTTTTACTCTTCTTCACGACAATGTTCTTATGCTTTTGGATTTTTCTTCAGCATCCTTCAATGGCATGAGAGGCCAAAGGAAGAAGATGTGACAAATTACCTGGCATGGGTTCTTCCTTTAGGTAGTAAGGTGGGATCCGGAACAGCTTTTGTTCGCCAAGCTCCATTAATTTCCACCTGAGAAAATAAATGACATGTTTAAACCCAGAAATCGAGGTACGGGAACATGATTTTGACGGGGAAAAAAAGTGAAAGAGGATCGGAGAAGAATTGATTACCAGAAGGCGATTAACATCATCTGTAATATCAACGGAGAAAAAACCCAGAAAAAGAGCAATGTCTGAGAGTGGAAATTTGAAATCCAGAAATTCAAAAAAAAAAAAAATTGAATAAGAAAATTACCGAATAGGAGCTTCACTTTCCTTTCATAAACAATCACAACACCACCTAACGAATAAACGAAACACTGAAGATCAAAATCAAACCCAGAATGAGAAGAACTGGGAAAAAAATTCCGATGAGCTAGATTTGTTAATCGTACCCATAAGAATCCCAGAGAGTCTAAGAGCCATCGGAACCGACGGATTCAAAATCTCTTCGCTGTGAGAAAGTAAAGTAAACAACCAAAAATGGAAAATCAACGTTCGTTTTCATGGCAGGAACACCAAACAAAAAAAAAAAAAAAAAAAGGTGCGAACAAAATCTCCTCTCCTCTAACCAGATTTGAATGATATCGAGCTTGTCTAGTTTCTTCCGATTGATCTTCGCGTGCAACGTAGCGGCCATCCTTAAGAAAATGAAAAAAAAAAAAAAAAAACAGAGCTTAGAGATTCCACTCTTCGCATTCACTAACAATCCATAGACAGATCAATCAATGGAAACCACAGTGACGATTTGAAGCAGTAACAAGTGCTTCATCGGAACGAGGAAGTTTCCAGCTGATTTCAAAAACAGATACAGAAACAGAGGTTGCGAAATCATCATGAAAATCGGAAAACGTTTAACTGAGAGGAATCGACTCACCATATCTGACCCAACGGAGCTTTTCGAGCTAGAAGCTGGTGAGAATAAAACATGATTCAGCTCAGAAAAAAAAAAAAATCCAAACCCAGGAAGAGAAAAAGAGAGAAGCGAGTTTTTGCGTAGAGAAGAAGCTGAATCTGAGTAAATGAATTTTTTACGAGTTTTTTTTATGCATAAAGTTGTCTGTATATAGATTTTATGAAGCCGCCATGAGAGCTTAAGAAGGGAAAACTCGCAGTGATCGTAGAGGGAGAGGAGAGAGTGAACATGTCAGGAGAAATGCTAAAGAAAAATGACAGTGACGAAAGTGTCACCAGTAGCCCTCTCGTAGTTTGACACGTACACAGCTTATAAGTAACCACAGGTGACGTTAGAAAACTTTCGAATTCCGTTAACCGCAGCTGGTCCCCACACTGTCACAACTCAAACTCTCCAGTCTCAACATTTCCTTTCTACTACCTGCCATTTTAGGATGTGAAACGACACGTAGTTGACTCTTGAAAATGTAAAAACGCTTTGGTGTTTAACCACGTCACTTCTCTCTCTCCAGTCTCCATTGAAGTTTGCATCGGCGAGCTCGAATAATCATCAAAAACACAGAAGCAATCATGCCGGAAATAAACCAAAACGGCGCCGTTAAGTTCTTGTTTACACTTGCTTTTCTCACTGCTACCGCCGTTTCTCTTCCTTCTTCGCCGGATCGATTCCTCAGATCGGCTTCGACTTATCTCCGGTTACCGGACGAGCCTCAGGAGTACGAGGAGCTCAGGCAGCCCCTACCGTCCGATCAGCTAACGCCGTCATGCTCCCATGTCCTCCTCCGCCACTCATTTGCCAACACCATCAATAGACCTCCTTTTACCACTCCATACAGTCCACCTTCCAGCTGTACATCGCCGCCGTGGTCTTTCGTTGTACTTGACCTACGCGCCGCCTCGAGTGGTGATCAGTACGATCGTATCTCCGGTTTGTGGCTCGGCGGAGTGGAGCTACTTCGCACCAGTACGGCGGAGCCGAGTCCATCCGGAATCTTCTGGAATGTTCGGAAAGACGTCTCTAGGTATTCCTCGCTCTTTATGAGATCCGATTTAAATGTCACAATGATGCTCGAGAACATAGTCAACGATGTTTACACAGGCATCTATCATATAAATGTCACCCTCATCTTCTACGAATTCAATCATATTGCGTCAAATTTGAAGATTAATAACAGATTAGGCTTTGTGGAATCCCAGAGAAGAGATCAAACCCCTGCGGATTTGATAATCCCGATAGGTGCCGGAGGGAACAGAGGGTTTTGGTTCATGATCGAGAACCCTACAGAAACTTACTCAAAACGAATTCAAATTCCGTCCAACACTCGTCAGATCGTGCTGGAACTATATGTATCGTTCCATGGAAACGATGAGTTCTGGTATTCAAACCCGCCAAATTCTTACATCAAAACGAACAATCTAGCAACCGGGCGTGGCAATGGTGCGTACCGGGAAGTTTTTGTTAAGATAGACGGGAGATATGTGGGATCCGAGGTGCCATTCCCCGTGATCTTTACAGGCGGAATCAATCCCTTGTTCTGGGAACCAGTTGTTGCAATCGGTGCATTCAATCTACCTTCCTACGATATGGACTTGACTCCATTTCTCGGGTTGCTTTTAGATGGAAAGTCTCATGAGTTTGCGTTTGGGGTCAACGATGGGATATCATACTGGCTTGTGGACGCAAATTTGCACCTCTGGTTAGATCACGGGTCTTCGAATGTTGAAGCTGGGTCTAGACTTTACGATAGCCCGAGTCGACATATGGAGAGACAAGAAAAGTTTGAACAGCTTGATGGGTCGTTTAGGGTTGAAGCAGAGGTAATTAGTGAATATGATGGCTGGGTTAGATCATGTAAAGGTAATCTGACCACTATGGTCAAGAGCATGTTCAAGGTTGACAGCTTGGTGAGGTTCGAGAAAAACGGAACATACAAGAGGGTTGAGCAGAGGGTGAAGACAGAACGGATCGTGGAGGTGACTTCAGAATCCGGTAAACCAGTGAATCGATTTGTGCACCAGCGGACATATCCTCTCACAGTGATCACTTCTACTTTTAGAGGGTTAACCAAGGATACATATATGCTCGTGACGAATGTTTCACACGCCTTGAATGAAACACATTCAGATGGAGAGGCTTCGACCCAAGTTTACAATAGACAAGACTCAGAGGGTTGGATGGAGGTTGAAGATCACAATGTCTTGGCCGGTGAAGCGAGCACAAGACAGAGTCTTAGCTACATCGATGAGTTCAGCTGTTATTCCCACACCATCGATGCGGCCAATGGCGAGATTACCCAGGACAGTTCATCCGATTCTTGCACTTCGTCTTCATCCTCAGAGCTCAACACATTGAGTTGAGCAGCTTATCATAACCGATGTGAAATCAAGATGAAACACTTGTCTTGAATAAGTGATGCTTGTACTACTAACCATATTCGGGGTCAAACAAAAAAACTGTTTTTGCTCAAAGGGTAACAAAATTGTAGGATCTAAAGCAGAAACAGCAGTTACAATTCTTTTGCTTTTGTTCATTCAATTATCCCGCTACCTCCATCGATATCGACTTCTCCCATTCCAGTGTCTTCTTCTTCATCTTCACTCCCCTCATCACCACTGATTTCTTCATTATCCATTCTAAGCTTAGCCATGTGCTCAGCAAGCAATTTGTCATCACGCTCACTCACCTAAAAATGTTGTAGCACATTGAAGTCAGGGAACCAAAGAAAAGGAGTGATTGAAGTAGCAAATTCAGTCAACTCGTCATAGAAAAAGACTACAAGACTTACCGCACGAGCACCTTCTTTAACAACAAGTTTACCCTTTTGTTCCTCTATTGCAGTAATGCATGCTTCAATTGCTTTATTCAGAGTCACTATTCCTTTTTCCTACTCAGTCAGAACAAGAAAGTGTCAATGTTACTATGTAATTCTCAATGTATCTTAAAAAAATTTCCGACTTTAAATAGGAGCACACCCAACACTAAAAACATACCTTGTCAAGGGTGTGAGTTGTGAGTACATAAAGTGGTGGAGCAACAAGCTTGATTTTGACTGGACAATCATCACTACCTTCAGCCTCTGCCTTCTTCATGGCTTCCTGCAAATTCATAATAATAGCCAAACATCCTTAGCTAGAAGTAGAAAACAAACATAGAGAAAAAGACACAGATAAGAAAAAGGAAAAGGCTGACCTTGATGTGGAGAACTCCATCAAACTGAAAACACTTCAATTCAATATCAGCACGAATCTTCATTGGCTGTGGTGTCATTCTCCTCCTAATGTTCTTCAAAAATGCATCTTTCAATTCTTCAGACACAGCCGGGACAACTTTGGTCACCTTTACGAAAGATATGATATAAGTCTCCATGATCAAATTAAAACAATGATACAGAAAGCTGCTTAAGGCAAAGAGTGCTGTTACCTCCACACCATCAGGTCCTGTTTCTTTAACTTCTCGGGTAAGAGCATTGAAAACCGAATCAGGATCAGTGACAACAATTTTGAAAGCCTGAAACACACAGTCCAAAGTACACACCATCACAATAGTTCGTAAACGACAATGAGCCAATTACTTATTAAAAAGCTTTATAACTATTACCTCAAAAGCATGTCCATGCTTCTTATACAATGGCCAGCCGATGTGTACGTATAGCTCCTACAAAAAAAGAAGGTTATTCCTCAAAATTGGACCTTGTTTCAGTTCAAGAAGAAAACAACATGACACAGATAAAGCTAGAACATTGAAGGCAATGCAGGAATTGAGAGAAGAGTCACAGAATCCTATTAATATACAGTACCTCCAAATCGACACCAACAGTCTCAGCAACATGACGCATGATAGAGTGAACAAGCTTGCTCTTATTAAACCTCTCCTCACAAGCCCCTTTGTCCTCATCACTAACCCTACGCTTACTAAGATCAATGTAACCTCTCTCTCTATCGACACGAAGGACCATTACAGGCTCGATCCGACCGACCTTGATTAAGCTACTGATACTACGAATCCGACGGCGAGAGAGCTCAGAGAATAGGATCATTCCTTCAATGTCGTTGTACTCAAGTAGAGAGACGTAAGCTCCCATGTCAGCGATGTTCTTCACCTGGATCATCACCGCCATGTCTACATCAGGGTATTTGGATTCGTACATACGACATTCCAGATTCGGTGCGGGATTCGCCATGGTTATGAGATTCTTGAGAAAACCTTAGGAAGCTACGAATTACAGAGAAAGCAAGATTGAGTTTCTATCTTAGCAGAGAGTCGAAAGATTGAGTTTTAGGGTTTTCAAAATTGGGACGATTCTGTCGTTATAGATAGTCGCCGTCGTATAATCTTCAATCTCGCCGAGTCACTCACATTCTCACGGCCCACTCTAATACGACTACGTAGCTTGCCAACGACACCGGTTAATCTACAAGAAATTACAATTGATTTCGGTTCGGTTAATATGGTTTTAAATTACAATTGATTTCGGTTCGGTTTACATTATTAGAATTACAAAGAGTCACGCGATGGAAAATTTGGAGAGAAGTGCGTCGATAGAAATAGGCATGATTTCGAAAGGTAAACCCCCTTCAGGAATTGCTCTCACTCGCGCAACGCGCACTTTGTGCGAGTGGGTCTGAAATAGAGCCTTCTGATTGGCTTAGAAACTCTAAAAAAAGTGAAATAGTATACATGTTGCTAGCTCCTCTTTTATGTTATTTTTCTTCTTCTTCTCTCATTTTGAGGCAAAAACACGAAGAGCTCACAACTATAGATTCATGCTTTCAGATTTCGACTGGTGAGTGTTAAAATCTGTATAAACCTTAATTATTGCTTATCGTCTTTTTTTTCTTATCGAATTTATAGTTCTGGATGTGGATTTTTTAAAATTTGGAACCATGGAAGTAGAAATCTTCAGGAATTTTCTTGGCTTGATTCAGAGTTTTTGGAATGTGAAAGTTTAATACTTTCCTACACTTCTTGCAAATAGAATGTTCAAAGATTACTGTGATTTGGATCCTTTTCTACACTTGTTAGTTTGTGATGTTGAGTTATCTGAAATTCAACACTCCTAAACCATTGGATTGCCAAAGTATATGCTTCAAAGTATGATCTAATGATAATATGAATGTCAATCTTTGGCAGAAAATACCATCTCAAGAAAAAAAAAATCAGAAACTTAACGAGCTAGGAGGCAGTTGCTGCAATGCAGAAATGAAAATTAGGTTGAGTTGACGGAGCTAAAAACTGAGCTTGATCAGCTGCTGTTAAAAGGTGTTTAGTCCATATTACAGGTACATTCTTTTCCCCTAGTACATCTTTCTGTGTAGTGATGCATGATTTGAAAGCATTCATTGACTTAAGAGTTACTTTTGATGAATCTTGGAATTATTGACTTCACAGTTACTATTGATGAATCTTGGAATTACCTATTAAATTAGGCTTTAGATATGGTGGATGGCTAGAATTAATTTGATGCACATATTGGTTATACTGTATATGAATAAGACACAATATGGAAATTATTATCTGGGCCAGGATTATTAAAGTTAATTTTCCATATGAATTTCATTGTTAGTTGATCAGCTACATCCATCTAGTTACTAGCAGTCACGTATAATCCAGCGAAACCAACTTATTGCTCAAATTTTATTTCAAAGTTATTATCATCAACCTCATAATCATTATCGTATGGTTCATACTTCATATACTTGACACTGACTAAACCATCAATGCTCTTATTAGATCGCAGGAATTGCAAGTTCGGAAATGAACCATAACTCAAATCAACCCACAACAACAAAGCTTTGAACTCAGACGTTCTACTTCAACCACAAGGTTAGGGGAAGCATCCAACTCCTGCCATGAACCATCTTCACCACAAGTTTGAACCACGAATCGGACTCCCTTAGCATCTGATCCAACGACCAGATCAGAGACATAATAAGCATCAACATGAGCTGTTCCAAGAAACACTTTCTCGCTTCTTGGTTCTTCCATAACCTTCCTTGGTCTATAATCACTCGAACTCAGATTCTCTGCATACACATTGTACTTTGTAAAGACAGAATCTTCTTCAGGGTGCTTCAATCTCCATTCTAGCTTACAACTTAAGGTCTTGGAGCCAGAACCACCCAATACAAACTTTACGTGATGAGCCTCGATAACCCATGATGACGCCAGAGGAAAAAGCTTGGTTTTTTGCTGGCTCTTGATGGAGATATGTCCAAGCAATGCAAAATACTCTAGTGTGTTTGTTTCTTCTGTGAGATCATCTGGTCTGGAGCAGAAGGCAGAGATCTCAGTCAATGTGTGCCCATCCAGAACAAGGTTTGTTTCATGCACCGTCCAACCGGATGTGGTCTGTTTTGATGTGAGAACACATGGTAGGAACATGTCACCAAATCTGTTGATGGATTCATTTGGCACCATAAGCAAGGACTTTGTCTCATGTGAAGGAGATGAAAAATGGAGCAGAATGCTTAACTCGGATCTTTTATCTGACTTCACCTGCAGCAGCCCAAGACTTTTCATGAGTAAAACTTAAAGATTGAAACTTTCTAGAGATGAGGTTGAGCTCAAATCTTATGCGTTAACTTACAGAAAAGGAGATTGATATTGGGGAAGCAGAGAGCTGAAGCTGAGGTTTGAAGAGTCTTGCTGTGAAATGTGCATTTCTCTTTAGTTTTCCTCTGAAACTGACGTTCCCTCCTCCATTATAAGATGCTTCTCGACCACTACCATATTTGTGTTCTCTAATGTTAGATGTAAAATTTCATTTCTTTTCAGGCTTCTTAAAAATCAAATATGAGGCTAGTGTTATCAGAAGTCAGAACTTACTCAACAGTGACTTGCATGATATCTGAATTCTTTCCTTCATTGAATTCTAGGAGTGGCTGTCACAAAGAACACAACAGAAGACAATATCAGATGAAAAATGTGACCAAAAAAAAGAATAGAGTTCTATTGCAATAAAAGCTAGAACAAGGAGTGACCACTGAACCTGCAGACTTTGGCATGAAATGTTGTACCAGGGAGCTTCTGATAATTTCCGACCTCCAAGAGAGATATGAGAACCTAGGCCCTATATAATAAAAAAGAGAAGAGAGTTTCAAAACTTAGCAAAACAGAGAATAACCATGATGATCATTTGCATCTATTCACTGGGAACAGAGTCGAGAGTTTCACTTCACCGGATTAAAATCTGAGTAGAAAGGTAAGACTTGCGGATATGTTTGAACTATACCCCATGACTTCTCAACAAGTGACCACCATCTAAAGAAAGATAACATATGATAAATAAGATTGCAAAGATTTTTTAAACCATCACATTTGCAAGCATTACTTATTTTGTGCCGTGTAAAAATCCGGTGGTTGCTCGGTTTCGTAGACCCATCCAGGAGCAAATATCGCAGCTGATACATTACTGCTCTTCAGCAAATCAAGGGCAACATTTGCCTACCATGCAAAAGAAATGAACAAGGTAGATAAACTTTTTATATGCAACTTGAACATTGCAGATTACTGGTTGAAAGAATTTGTAAGATACATACAGTCCATTGTCCACCACCGTAAGTGCCCCGACCAAAAACATCGATTCCCATGTAGACATCATATTTTCTGTCACCGGAAATTTCAGCTGATGCTTTGGGATAGTTCTCCTGAAAGAGATACTTACTTATATCACAATCAAAACATATAAAATGAATGAAGATGAAGTGAAAGGACAAACCTTCCATGTATAGTTCATGAATATTCCATCGCATATATCAAAGAAAGGTTTATTCTTCTCAGTTAACTGATCTTGCCAAGCAAGCTGACCATCAACAGTGACACTATCATACCTACAAAAAATAAGTAATCGAAAGGAACAGTATAGTCTAGAAACAGAACACAAAAGAGTGATTTTGACAAAAAGAAAAGCTTCTCAACACTCACCATATAACTAAACCTCCAGGTACAGATGAATGCATGACTTTTGTTAGATGGCTTACAAAAACCATCAAATTTGGAATTTGAACTTCATCTATTACATTCTCTATATTTATCTGCAAGTAAACAACCATAAGATCCAAATTAGAAGGCAATAATCTATAGTTTCAGATGCTGCTTCAAATGGTTAAATCATACACCACAATATCGATTCAAATATGAAAAAGATGACTGGAATTGTGAAACAAACAAGGCTAGATATAGCAAGAACCCACCAGCCACCCATCAAAGCCAAGAGCAGCAGCAAGTTCAGCCAAACGCTCTGCATACATCTGCGCAGACTCCTTTGTCGCCGACAACTCTTTACACGTAGCTTTTCCTTCGTCCCATTCTGTGATGAAAGTCCCCAATACCTTAAGATTTCCATAAAACACACACAAGTAAATGAATCACTCCTTAGAAAAACCATGATTGTACTTCACTCTATCATTTATTCATTTTGTCTCTAATCAAAGTTAATTTTTTTTTCTACAACTTACATACAAAGATCGAAACTTTAGTTACTTCAACTATAAATCATGAGACTTTAAAAAGTCAACACATTGACTAACCTTGACGCCATGTCTGTGAGCAGTGTTGGTCCAACAAGGAGGAGGCAGAGTCACAAGCGAGTGTGAGAAGTAAACGAAAACGTCCATCAAATACCAATCCCAGATGGCGTAACCGGCGTTGTTTCCACATCCTTGTACCCACTTATCATCAACGTAACCTCCTTTCATGTCGTGACAAACCAAGAGCCTAGATCGATCCGGCAAGGCGTCAATGTTCCGACGGAGAGGTACGGAGGAGCGGTTAAAGGGATAATGAAAGGAATCGAAGTAAGAGCGAGACTTCAGGTCTTGAAGAGTTTTGATAGGGAAGGAGATAGGTGTTGATGGCTTAGTAGGATCGAAAGGTGGTGGTAGTGGTGGTGCCACTAACATGGCTTCGTCGTTGGACATCACGAGACAGAAAGGGATTTGCGAAAATTCAAACAAGTCAACGGCAAAAGACGAAGAAGACGATGATAATTGATACAGAGAGATTTTTCCTTTTTATTTTTGAAAATATATCTTTAGTGATGGTGATGGTCGTTAATTTTATTATGGAGGGCATTTACTAGCATGTGCACACTCTCCTAGGAAGATTCAATAAAAAAAAGTTTATATATTCAGTCCTTTTTTACATTTTGCTTTAATGTTAGGTTAATGTAAAACTATTCTAATCATAAAATTGATTTTGTATTAAAATACATGGATTAAGAATGTTGAATTTTTTGCTCTACAGATTCACAATTTATTTACTAAACTTGAGAAGAAAACAAATATAAGGTGAAACTCGTAGAACTTGCTTCTAATTTGAGAATCCTTTAGCTAATTTCACCATAAATTTATGACCAAAATATCTTTAGAATAAATTTCAAAATTAGAACGAACAAAGACAAAACATGATCCAATGTAACTCAACAAAACAGAATCACAAGCTATGCCAACAACAATGACCCTTTCTTTTTAACTTACACACACATAAGAGTAGAAATACTAAGCTTAGTCCAATGACTCCAGTCTCAGCTTGCAGGTTTGTTTCTTCTCATCAGAATAAATCATCATCTCCTGTAAGTCTTTCGTATTCATCTTCTTTAATTAACCCTTTCTTTACTTTTATCATTAACTTATAATCTCGATCCATCACTTCTTCATCTTCAGCAGTTTGAATAGTTTGTCTTTGCTTCCCTGTTAACTTTCTCGACGCTTTCTTAGGATCATTAGTAGTAGGAGCATCAACCCTTTTTCTCTTGCCTTTCTCTCTTTTCTCTTCTTGCCGTTTCTCTTTCCTTACTTGTAAGTTTTGCTGTCTTTGTTTCTCCCGAGATTTGTCCCTGCGTTGATTCAAAACATTCAAGTTTAGAGAAATGCCTACTTATAGACTCAGAAAGCATATGATTCCTGAAAACACGGATGTACAAAGACTTCAGACTACAAAAGCTTGTTTCCTCTAAATCTAAAACTGGTCAATGTATGTAAACGACACTCGCTTTAACGAATGTATCAGGGAATGGGAGAAGGTGGATATATATCATAATTGTTTAGGGATTTTGGTAGAAAAACCTACTTGAATTTTATTTCGTCAAACTTGACACCTTCAACGGGTGTGAAACCCTCACTGGAAAGTCTGTGTTGTTTAACTTCAGACATTGAAGGAAGATACAAGAGGCCATATCCCATGGCTAACTTTCCAATTTCAAGTTCTTTCCATCTGTAAGTTAAGACCAAAAAATATATATACTTTTCAATTACAAAACTGATAGAGCGATATAGAATTTGGAGAAACAGAAAAAAAGGCTGAGCCTCATGAATGAACCTGAAAATGAAATAGCAGTGATGCTCCTTATAAGCACGGACAAAGGAAACAAATGCCTTTAATCCCTTCTCCAACACTGCTCGGTCCTTCATGGCAGCTGAACGTATCTGAACAAATTGTAGCAATTAGTAAACAATGTGACCCACACACAGAGAGAGAGCGACCCTTCTTGTGTGCAACAGACAGAGAGGTATGGAGGGTTTTCTTACAATCGGGATGACATCGGATGCGTCCTCAGAGCATTTTCTCTCTTCCAGAGGGACTCTTCTTATGCGCATAAACTCTACATAGGCTTCCTCCTACACACATATGCAAGCGAACTTTTAAGCTTTTCAGGCTCTATGATGTAACTATGGGAGGAACAAGGGAACATAAAGTGCTCAAAGCTCAACCTTAGGCAGTAAAAACACAATTGCCTTCCCTAGTCTTCCCAATCTTGCAGTTCTGCCGGCCCTGTGGTTGAACATATTTGGGTCTTGTGGGGGATCATACTGCATGAACGTTCGAACCTCTGAATCCTAAATATTGCAACAAAGATGGCATAATAATGCAAACATTATTGGAATCTACCTGAACTACATAATCAATGCCTGGAATATCAAGTCCACGTGCAGCGACGTCTGTGCACAGAAGGGCACCGCTTGATGCTTTAGTAAATGAAGCTAATGCCTTATCTCTTGCATTCTGATGTGTAAAGTATAGTTCATCAAAACCTTTAATAACAATAGGTAATGAGGTGATATGGAAAATTAAAATCTATCATGGTAACTTACCTGCTTCATATCCCCATGGATAGGAATTAAAGATATAGACTTCAGGGCAGGAATTTTTGAAAGTACGAGTCCCCAGTAGTCAACAGAAGCACAGGTCATGAAGAATCTGCAGAGTTACTTAGACTATTTATAAGGATGCTTTACTTTATAAGTCTGTGTGGATTGTTTAGACTTACACTATAAGCTTTTTATCACTGTTCTTGATGAGGAGATCCACTAGTTGTGATGATTTCTTATCTGCTTCGCATTCGATATACTGTAGGGACAAGGAGATATAAACCGCTAAGAAACACACAAGTAGGAAATGTAAAGATACAACAGGAAAACTTACTACTCTGAAACACTTTATTACATATTTGTATATTGAACTTATAATACCTCAAGATGAAGACCAGAAGGGGTTTTCGAGTTTGTAAATTGCTGGGATGATTCGGACTTGGACTTAGCTCGAACTTCAACTCTCACAGGGTTCCTAAGCCCAGCCTTGGCGAGCTCTTCAACGCCTTCTGTTTGAGTAGCTGAAAAGAGGCCAGTCCTCCTCTGCTTTGGCAAGCGTGAGATAATGTAATTCACCTGCCTTTGGAACCCCATCTCCAAAAGCCTATCAGCCTCGTCTAAAATAAGAATCTACATGTGCAAAACAATTCAGTTTAAGTAAAAAAACTAAACTTTCAAGTTGTTTAGACAAGATAACCATATCCAGCTATATAGATTCAACAAGATCCATCTTAAATATATAAAAACCCGATTGAAGAAGAAAACTACCTCAAGATTTCGAAAATCGAGAATCTCCATTCGTTCCATTATATCTGAAAGCCTTCCAGGTGTACCAATCAAAAGATTGCATCCTTCTTCTTCAATAATCTTCATGTCAGCTTTCACCTCTCGGCCTCCAACAAGTAACACAGAGTTCACATTTGCCAAAGTCGAAACAAATGGCTGTGCCACATTATATATCTGCGACGATAGCTCTCTTGTTGGCGATATAATCACCCCCATGACCTGTAATTTTAATCTCAAAGATAAGCTCACAATCGAAACACCAAAGATCCTAATTTCTAGATTACTTGGCAATTATCTTACCTGATGAGGCTTCGGAGGGAATGAAGTGGATCGACGGAGGATTTCGACGAGGGGGACGACGAAAGCTAGGGTTTTTCCAGAACCGGTGGCAGCGTCGACGGCAACATCCTTGTAACTACAGAGTAAAGGAATCGTCGCGGCTTGAACCGGAGTGCAGAACTCGAAATCAGACTGATTAAGCGCCTCAATGATATTTCCGGAGAGAGGAGGTTCGAGGTCCGAGAAACGCGTCTCCGTTAAAGCTTTGTTTATGTTCGCCGATGAATCCATGACGGCCGCCGCTGCCTCTCGTTGCTCACTTCCCGCTTTTACCTTGCAGTGACCTTTTTATAACTGAAAACGAAACGCAGCGTATTGATCAATTCGGTTCGGTTTTATGTTGGAATTTACCACCCAGGCTTAAATTGAACCGGTGACCAATTGGTCCCCGGTTTTTTCCGAGAAACGCATTACTGGGTTTGAAAAAATGTATCTTTCGGCCCATTGTTTAAAGCTATTTATTGGGCCTCGCCACTTACAATATTATTACCGTTCTTAATCACTTAATTAGACATTTGAAGTATCTCAGCACTAATTTGGGAAAAGGATAAATGTCACGAATAATTTTGTAAGATGTGGTATAATAGTTTACATATCTACATTTTCATGTATTACACAAAATGAAGTACTTTTAAAATTAAAAGTAAAAAAAATAATCATTTGTGTTATTTTTCAACAACATGCAATATATGGATTTGAATATGGTGGTGACAAAATAATAATGATAGAAATATAGAATAGTACAAATGTGTTTATCTCAATTTATTTGTTCAAAATAGAAGAAGTAAAAAGGATGTTTTACCAAACACAAAATAAGTGATACAATATATTAGAAATATAAAGAATTTTGTAGCATTATATACTATTATATTTAATAGTTATCTTTTGATATTGGTTATACATTTGTTTTTTCTGTCGACCAAAAATTAGAGAGTAAGATATTTTCATAGCATTAATCAAAAAATTTGGCCTAGTAAGTATACTAGTGTGCTTGATGTGTTATATAATATGTAAGTTGAACATGGCAACAAATAAAATATATATACGGTAATACTCTTTTGAGTTTGACAAGATTTTGATAATTTGTTATTGTCCTTGTATAGTTGTACTAGGGGAGGTCCCCGCGCCCAGCGCGGGGTTGTATGTTGATTAAGACCAGAATTAATAATTAATATTTAGGGTTATCAAGTTAGGGATATTTATTGAATTAATTTTGTCAAGAGTCTAATTTTTATAACGACATTAATATAGAATTATGGTAAAACGCTATAACTTTTGATATATATTATTAGTAATCAACAATTAATAGTGTTTTTGAATCACAAACAATTATTAGTGTTTATATCTTGATATATATAATAGAATTAAATATAAAAAATCTATATATTTAAACCAACAATATATTAGCAACGCCCCGACCGCCACTGTCCATGGGTTCCCACGTCCAGTCTCGGTCTTTAGGCCCATCTTCTTTGTTTTGTCGTACTCTTGATTTCATGACATATTCATGCTTACTCGTTTCTTTCATATTAGCAACGCCCCGACCGCCACTGTCCGTGGGCTCCCCACGTCCAGTTTCGGTCTTTAGGTCCATCTTCTTTGTTTTGTCGTACTCTTGATTTTATGACATATTCATGCTTACTCGTTTCTTTCATATTTGTAATGCCACGACCGCCACTGTCTGTGGGTTCCCACGTCCAGTTTCGTTCTTTGAGCACATCTTCTTGGTTTTGTAGTACTCTTGGTTTTATGACATATTCACGCTTCCTCGTTTTTTTCATATTTGTAACGCTCCGACCGCCA